AGCAGTGGCACGTGCGCTTACGCTTCGCAGTATTGCCAGGGCCATCTGGTACCAGGACCTCGCCCTTGCCCAGCGGCTTCGTAGTGGCACCACCGCAGGGGCACAAAACATCGACATCCACCACCACACGATCTCTCTTGTCGACCGCACCGCCTTCGAGACTGAGCACTCCGCCATGCAGCGCCAGATCGCGGAACAGCGTCGTCGTGCTGCTGCCGCCCGCTCGCGAGCTGCCTGCGCTGAACAACGGCCCGACCTAGGTGAACAATGGCGACGTCGTGCCCGCCGCATTGGACAGCGCAGTGAGATCTGGAAGCCGTTCTCGAAGCGCCTGATTCTCGCAGGCGTCCGCATCGCCGACAGCAGAGGCCCGACAGTCGCCAACGACCCCATGAGCATACACAGCGCTATTCAATCTCACTGGTCGAAGGTGTTTGCCGCCAAGTCAGTAGACACCACAGCGATGCAGCAGTACCTGGACATGGTCTTCCCACCAGCACCTCCACGAGATCTGCCTCTACCTGGGATTGCTGAACTCCAAGCCGCAGCTAAACTCGCCAGTGACTCAGCTCCTGGACCTGACGGACTTCCCTACCGCGCTCGGGTACGGTCCGACGGCATCATCGCTATCCTCCACGACCTCCTCCACTCCATTGCTCACGCCAACCCGATCCCCTACGACCTGAACTACGCGCTCATGGCCATGCTTCCCAAGGGTGACGAGCCCATGGGCAACTACGAGTGCTCCCGCAGCCCCGACTGTCTCCGCCCTCTCGCCATGAAGAACAGTGACATCAAGATCATCGCCTCCGCCGCGAATCGCATCCTCAGCTCCGTCGCGTCGGACGCCGAAGAAGAGCAACAAGGCTTTGTACATGGCCGTCAATTTCTCTCCAACATCGTCAAGGTTGACACCATCGCCCGCCTCACCAGCATCAACAGCGACGCCTCCACCCTGATGCCCTGCTTCGCCAGCATGGACATTGCTGCAGCGCTTCCGAGTCTTACGCACGCGTGGTTGTGGGCTACTCTACGGCGATGGGGCACCCACGGCGTCTTTCTCAATATCTTGCAAAGTTGCTATTACATGCCACTTGCCTTTCTCGAGCTTGGTGGGGTCCGCCAGCCGCTGCTTCTCGCAGAATCAGGGGTTGCTCAAGGATGTCCCTTGAGCGGCACGCTCTGGGCGCTCGTCTTCGATCCCATCATCAAGGGCCTCAAGCTGGAACTCACCGCTCTGGGCAGAGGCCTTCTCAGCGCTTGCGCCGACGACCTGGGTATCGTTCTTGCTGCGCTTCGAGATCTCGGCGCTCTTCCCCCACACTTTCAAGCTGCTCACTACTACGCTGGCCCCCGCCTCCAACCGAAGAGGCGCGTCCTCGCGCCCACCTGGCCCCTGCCGACGCCCGAGATCACCGCGAACATGCGTGCTTTTCTGACCCAGATCTACGCGCCGTGGCAAGCTTTCTCCATCAACAGCTTTGCGCGATACCTCGGCGCGCACATCGCCCCTGGCGCCTCTCTTGACCGTCAATGGCAAGGACCTGCCAACAAGTGGCGGGAAAGCATTCAGATCCTGAGCGACTCCAACGCTCCCACCCAGCAGAGCATCAAGATGTACAACTCCGCCGCCATCACCTGTCTTTCGTACGTGGGCCAGCTCTACCCGCCATCCCCAGCATTCCTGTCCAAGGCTATTCATGGCCTCCACAAGTTGATCCGCGCGGCCCCCTCGAGCTTCACGCAGATGGACATCCTGTCGTTCACGCTGTGGGCGTCCGCCACGATTCCGCAGGGCATCGAAACGCTTCTTGCTGCGACTATGTGGCGCGCCTCCACTACGACCATTCCTGGCTGGCAGCCTCTACTTCACGAGCTCCGTGCCCATGCTGAAGACCTCCCCCCACTATGCGACGTTTTGGCTGGCAACTGGTCTGCCTCATGTTGGATTGACGACGCTTCCATTCAGCAGCGCTTCGACGCCATTTACCACAACAAGCTGATCGTGACAGGCAAAGCAAGACTCTCACGCGATCCACAGGCTCTACGGTGACCGCCGCCCGTGTACTTCAACGAGCTCATGCGCAAGCTGCTGCAGCTGGACGGCATGCTCTCCAGGCCTCCCGTCGTGCCAAGGCGGATGATCTCTGCGCGCCCAGTCGTGACAGGACTGGCGATTACCAGGCGCCAAGTCGTGACAGGGCTGGCGGCCTTCACGCGCCCAGTCGTGACAGGACTGGCGGACTTCATCAGAGGCAAGCTGGGCTCATCTCTTCGAGTGCTACTACCTCGAGCGTCGCATCACGAACTTCCCCACAACAAGCCTACCTACGTGAACTACAACGCCAGCTGTACCGCGATTCTTTCCACAAGACCATTCATCATCGTCTTCGTGCTTGGTTCCCACTACTTCCTGTCGGTAGGGGCTCTCCGATGGCGCCTTCTACATCCGAGCTACCGGCTGGGAATGACGACCACGACTCCATGAAGTGCCTGAACGAACGCTCTGAAGCATGGGCAGCGAGATGGATCCCCAGCGTGTTCTTCGGCCGCGACATGGACAACTTCAACGACTGGATGGACTGGTGCGTCCCCTGCGTCGCAGCTGTACTACACCGCCCCCAGGTCAATGTGCACTTCATCCTCGACGACGCGTATAGGTCTGCCAGTGCTCGCCGTGACATGGCGACGGAGATCTGTTACGGTGCGTGGCATCGAGCTGACCGTCCTCGTAACCACCGCCTGCAGATCTATACCAGCGAGCGCATGTCGACTACCACTCATCGAGAACTTGCTGGCGAAGCTGCTGAACACCGCGCCCGTCGTCGCTGGATCGAACGCGAACGTGCCACCAACCCGAACTTCCCGCAGGATGACGGCGACACCGCATCTACAACTACGACCACCACCACGCTTCCCACCCACTCCACCAGCGACATCATGATGGACTCCGATACCTCCGACCGTGACGGACTTCTTGGGCGCGCTGCTCTCCCTGCTAGTGTTGAACACGCTTGGCGCGATCTACGGTCCCACCTGGCGAACTCCACGGCGTCGCTCTTCTGGCCCGCGGTCAAGCCATTGTCAGGCGCATGGGCGACCTCGCATCGCATGCACGTCAACCCTCACAAGAAGACCTGTTTGTTCGGCTGCGACAAGGACTTGCAGGCCAAGAACACGGACGACATCAGCCACTACATCTCGTGCTTTCGGACGCGGGCGCTCTTGGCACAACCGCGTGGACGACTTGCTGGCGATGCCCTCGCGCGCCTGGGCCTCCGCCAGAACGACATCATCGACGACCGCCCGAAGCGCGCCATAACGCGCGTGGCCGTTGCCTACCGCAGCTACAACATCATGCGGGTGCGCTCCGAGAACGGCATGCCCGCCGACTACAACGACTACATCTACCACAAGGAGGTTGTTGCCGCCGCTCGCCGCGCCTTGAGGCTCCCCCGATGCCTCGTGGGCGGCGCGGGGCCGCAGCGCCGCTGATCGACAGGCGAGCGCTCTCCCCAGCGTGTCGTTTGCTCCTCCTCCTCCTCCTCCGCCTCCTCCTGCTTTCCTGGGACGTCGGGGTGGGGCCAAAGCAAGGTGCAGCGCCGGCGGCGCAACCCGGTCCTCCTCGGCTTTCCTCGCCCCCCCGCCCTCCTCCCAGGCAGATCAGGGCAGGGCTGGATGCAGGTATTGCACTCATTATTCTCTTGCACAGCCGTTTTCTAGAGCTCGGACCTCTTTATTTTCGTCGTCGTTCGTTCGTTCTTCGCCCTCCCCCCCCCCCCCGGCACATAAGGAAACTCTTGAAGAAAGGAGGCGACTGCCTCCTGTTCTGGTGGTAGGGAAGGAAAGGGGTATGGCATAGCGGGGTGTGGTGTTAATTTCATGTAAAGGGGAGTCTGGCGATGTTATCTATCGCAGATCGCATCGCCATTTCCACGATTGGCACCATGCCCCTTGATGCCGCACCCCTTTCCGACCTCCAGACCTGTCCCTCGCAATTCATTGGCGCAAGAGCCAGGCCGCGCGTACAACTTTTTTCGAGCTCACTGCCACATCCCTGCGGCCCCCCACAAGGGGGGGGGGGGAGGGCAGGCGGCGATGCGCGCTGCAGGAAACCACGCTTCCTCCTGCCGAGTCGATGCGATCCGATCCTCTCATCCCCGTGGTCCTCCCCATGATCCCCCCTCCCTGGGGTCAATATCGTTTCACCGAACCGTATCCCCATCCCCGTCCCCATCCAGACCCCGACCATCTCCCCCCCCCCCTCCCCAGTGGGGGGACCTACCCTTCGAAGCCCCAAGGAAGCTGCCCACATCGCCATCCAGGGGAAGCAGATCGACCGTCGGGGCCCGGGCCGCGCCCCCTGGGACAGGGGTCGGTGAGGTGAGCCTGCCTGCCTGGCCGGGCAGCACAGCCTGCCCGGAGCAAGCGCGGCGGCGCGCAGGGCCCTCCTGCCTGGGCCATCACCGCACCAGCTTGAGGCCCCGGGTGCCCATGGGAGGCGCACCTGCCACAGAGGATCCGTGCGTGTTCGAATCGACACTGAGCGCTATGTGACCTCGGAGCCGTGACCATCGGGGGCGACCAGGAGGGGGGTGATGACTAGGGGGGGGGGGGGATCTCATGGCGGGTGGCGTGATATCTCCCCAGGTTCCATGGCGCCTTTCCTTATGCCATTATGTTCCTGCCCCCCCTGCTGGGCCCCCCTCTTGGACGCCCCCCTTCTCGGCCGCCCCCGACCATCTCGAGGCCCCGGATGCCCATCGGAAGCGCACCTGCTATAGGTAACTCATGTGTAGTTATCCGAAACGACATGGCTTGCCATGACCTCGGAGCCGTTAGCACGAGGCAGCTGTCGGTGA